AAGAATCAAATTTTTGTATGCTGTTATACTGTTTTATTAACAGCAGGGTCAGTTTCATATCAAGTAATTATCACAAATTGGCCCTCTGAACCGAAAATGGGTGATACAAATTTTACACTTCTGGGCTGATATAGACATTTCACATATGTCTTATTTGTCCGTATAGTCGAGTTACTCGTGGTTCGTCTACAGTGCTTTTGTTTTATGTTGTTTGTTTTCAAGTTTTTTTACTGTTTGGTCTTACATCATCTTGCTTTATATTACAGTCATTTTATTTTTATTTTCTACATGTATGTAAAAGTAAGATGATAAACCAGCTTTTTCATTTATATGATTTTAAGTTTTAAGCTACTATATGCACAGGATTGTTTTTGTTTATACACAGTTTTGATTTATGAGAAAAATCGACATGGTTAGAAAATACAAATAATACCACCATTACAAACACAATTCCATTTTAATATTCTTTTCATGGTCAGAAAATACATAAAATAACACCATTACAAACTCAATCCCAATTTTATATTTTTGTACGTGTCTACAATAAAACAAATTTATTCTATTTTTAGAAATTTACCTGTGATAATATAAACGTCACAAAAATACGTCACTTTTTGTGGCGTTGATACATTCGTGTGACGCGCAGTTTATACTTCGTTTGTGGTGTACTGTTGTACTGCGTAAATTCATGGGAGGTGTCCGTTGTTATTCTGTGGTTTACATGTTGTAATTTACTATCATATTATTTACTTATGTATTTTTCTGTCCTGAGTGTTCTTGCGTTTATTTGAACTGTATTCCTGTAACGTAATGTTGTCATTTTAGCGGTATTGTTAACATTGCCATATAAGCGGGAGGTTTGGCTAGCCATAAAACCATGTCCTGGACCAAGTCAGGAATATGGCAATTGTTATCAAATAGTCCGTTTCTATGTATGTTGGCGTTTGTTTTGTTGCATTTCAGTGTTTCTGTTGTTCCGTTGTTTTCCTCTTGTAGTTTATGTGTTCCCCTCGGTTTTAGTTTGTAACCCGGATTTGTTTTCGCTTAAACGATTTATGAATATTGAATACGGTATACTACTATTGCCTTTTTTCATTGACCAATAATTTAAATTTGCATAGGTATGGGAGTAAAAGAATGTATACTAGGTCGATATGAATAAATGCACTTTAATAAGACAAATCAGATAGTGTATCTTATGTTAGAGTTGATGGTGGACTATTAGTTCCCGAGGGTATCGTCAGGTCAGTAGTCAGTACATCAGTACTGACATGATTTATAACAAACATTTCTAAAACTGTTCGTTTATAAATTTAGAAATTACAAAGAAACTACCGTTTCAACTCCCTCAGGCAAAGTTGACCTTAGATGGATTTGGCTATTTTAGGCCCTTTTTTGTCATATAGCCCTTCAACTGCTCGGTCCTTATACATCATTGGCTTTCAAATATATTCGGCTTTAAGCGTTCCTGATGAAGGTGTATCCATAAAAGCGCTTCAGACTTGTGCATTTTATAAAGCATTGTTTTGATTTTTCACAGTATTGGGTAGATACCGTTGCTGGTGGACTATCAGTCCCCGAGGGAATAATCATCTCCGTAGTCAGTACTTCGGTACTGACATGATTTATAACAAACTTTTCTAAATTGTCCGTCAATAAATTTAAAAATTAAAAAGAAACTAAGGTTTCAACTCACTCAGACAAATTTGACCTTAAATGGATTTGGCTATTAATTTTATGTCCTTTTTGGTCATATAGTTCTTCAACTGTTTCAGTTCTGATACACCCTTTGCCTTTAAATATTCGGCTTTGATCAGTCCTGAAAAATGCTTCGGACGCATGAAATTTATAAAGCATTGTTTTCATTTTTTTATGTTGTACTATTCAAAATTTATTAAGAATTAAGAATCAAGGCGATTATCAAAAGAGTATTACCCGGTTTTGGTGATGTTCGTGTTGCTCAGTCTTTATTTTTCTATGTTGTGTTTTGTATACTACTGTTTGTTTGTTTAGTCGTTTTTCGTTGTTTGCCATGCCATTGTCAGTTCGTTTTCGACATATGAGTTTGATATCCCTTTGTCATCTTTCGTCTCAATTTTACATTTTGCGAAAGTCCAATGATGCAAACATTCACTATCAATCAATGAAATAGAAATTTACTTAGGTCATTGTGCGGCTGTACTTTATTAAGTAATGACAAATGCATAATCACACCCTTATTCTCAGGAAATGAAAAATTGTAGTCATGTGCATGTAAAGTGTTTTCGCTAAAACAATATTAGAAATGTAAAGTACAAAGATGATGATATTTTTTAGACATTCATTTAATTGAAAAGGGTCGCTGTATTGACCAATTATCACAAAGCAGAAAGGACAAATTGAAAATTGTCGTTATTTATTTGATACTTTGTTGCAAACTTAAAATTTGAAACTATAATACCAAAAGTAACAAAAGCTGCAAACCCTTTTCGGCTAACGACTAACATACTACAAAACGGATAAACGAATCGAAAAAATAGCTAATATAAAAATAAAAAGATGTGGCATGATTGCCAACGAGACAACTCGCCACCAGAGACCAAATGACGTAGAAGTTAACAATAATAGGTCACCGTACGGCCTTCAACAATTAAAAAAACCACATAGCAAGTTCACTTTATGATGAAGATAATTTATCTTTTTAGTTTAACAAAACAAGAATGTAAAATAAAGTATAATTTGGTAAATCAACAATCCATTGTTATAGTAAATTTATTGGGATTTACTTATTAAATCTACACTTACGAATTTTAAAAGAGGAAAATATACCAAAGTTTCAACCACAAAAAAAAAAACGAGTTGAAGAAAACGAAGCAACACCAAAAAGGGTATCACCAAACCAGTAGTCAGCACTTCTGTTTTGACATGAATTATCATTGATATGGTCATAACTATAAATTGTTTACAAACATTTGGATTGTCTACCCCAGGAAAAGATTACCTTAGCTGTATTTGGCAAAACGTTTTGGAATGCATTGTTCTCTACCATAGATATCTTCTACATGTTGTTGTGGTAAAGCTGTGGCGGTATGCAAATTGAAGAACTTGAAATAAATAATCAAAAATATAAAACAATCTGGTAAAATATACAGGCGAAAGATATCAAAGGGATATTCCATCTCATAAGTCGAAAACGAACTGACATTGCCATAGTGAAAAACAAAAAACGACCGAAAGACAAACAACAGCATACAAAATACAACATAGAAAATAAACGACTGAACAACAAGAACCCACCAACAACTGGGGGGGGGGGGGGGGATTTAGGTTCTTCAGAAGGATAAGCAGATCCAGTACTTTATTAACCCTTTACAACCCTCTGTTAAAGGTGACAGAGTTGGTCATGTCCGTACTGTCCTTCATTAACACTAAGTGAAAAATATGCGTCAACTCTTTCTTCTTATTCTGTTAAGAGTCCTTTAATAATTTTTTGTGGGTAAAACTAGGAATGAGTCTCATACATATACCAAAAGCAACTGGTTCATTTATCAATAAATTTAACATAATTTTGAAAGTCTTGAATAAGTTTATTATTTTTTCTTTTGCAATTATTCTTTTGCAAGTATGTTCGTCATCTTCAATTTGAAAGTTAAAGAATTCTAACAATGATTTCAGTCCTATTTTCAGCTGGTAAAATGTGGTAAAAGTCTTCTTTGTAATACAATAGTCAAGCAAGAAAAAAAAAACACTGTTGCACGAATCGAGTATTCAAGCGCCTAAAAAATGTATTTATACTATTTCCGTAAAATTTTCATATATCCATGGAATCGAAATGTTATTCAACGCAATACACTGCTGCTAAAGACTGTTTTGATACCATATTGCAATGAAGAAGGTATGATAAGGCCATTTTCTTGGTCCCTTGAATTAAAAGATCAGAAAGTATTATAAATCTACCAAAAATATCCTTCAGATCTTCATAAGACATAACTCTGTCGGACATTAGTATATATATTCTTAGTGCAAGTCTGTTACAACTGCCAAAATAGTCTCATTTTGGAATCTTGACATTAATATCTAGATATGAGCAAGAGCTTAACCCCAAAAGATTTTTTTGATGTATTTTACGAAAATCTAAATGTGTGTGAAATATTTAATTGGGTAAAGCTCTTGTTCATATATAGTCTGACAAAAAAACTGTGCGTAAAATGTCCATTGTAGGTCAAATACGTAATTTCGACATCATAGTGATGTAATGTTACCTTTCTGCACTTGCACTAAAGTTTACGAGATAAAGCAACTGGTTCATTTATCAATAAATTTAACATAATTTTGAAAGTCTTGAATAAGTTTACTAATTTTTGCAAATCAGTGGCCAAATAATGACTCGTATCATACCTCTGCTTTCAGGTGTGTTCCTACAATTCTCAATAAAAAAACATCTATTACCGAAATAGATAAACTATTGTCTTGAAGAAAACACCTTAGCTTTACTGCCAAAGGAATTTTGTTTTGGTTCAGAAGAAACTCGAAATAAGCCCATTTTTTTAAATTGTATGCTTTAATCATTTTTCAGCATTTAAGATTTGATTGCATTTTCTGAATTACGACACAATGTCATCTACATAGACACATATGATTAGTTTACAACAAACCTTTATTACAAGTTCAATGGGGATTATACGATCAACAGAATCATTTCTATGAATTATGTACGTTCATCATAGCAATATCAGTAGTAATTGAGGGCCTATGGATTTTTATGAAATTTTTTAAAAAAATTATTTGCAAATGATATGATAAAAACAATAATGATTGACGTTTTCTGAAAAATGGTTTCACTTTTGTTTTTTTCAAGAAACATTTTCCAGGCTAGATAATATACCATGACACCAATCGAGCAAAGGATGTAGAGATGAACATAACTTTTACTGAATCATGTGCTGTGTCATTTAATATAAGTTTTTATTAACACAAATGCATATAAATAACGATTTTTAGATTTTCACGAGGCTGTAATCAGGATGTGATATTCACATGTCATCCATGTATGGAGGCGTAAAATGTTATAAAAACGTACTATTATAAGAAATAATGAACATTTTCATGAACAATGATGGCAATTCAATACCAGTATATCTATAGATGGATGATACTTTTGTCTTGCATTTATGGTAAGCTTTTTAGTAACATTTTGAATTGCTTTTAAATTTAAGATGAATATGCACATCAATTACTTTAAAGTTTAATCAAAGCCACAAAAAGTATCAAATGGGATCAGATATAAACGACTGTACTTACTTGCAGGCAGCATTATGGTCTTTGAAAGATGTATGTTTATTTTGGTTCAAATGGGTTGTTGATTTTCAGTCTCATTGGTGTTAGCCACATCTCTTCTTGTACGTATTCGGTTGTATATATATATATATATAAATATATATATATAATGACTGAATAATAGCCAACGATAAATCTTACAGGGCGATGGATCATATAAATATGATACAGTACACTACAAAATATAATATATAACCAGTCTAAAAGGGTACAACATCACCAAAAAATGACAATAAACGAACAAATGTAACTATAAATATTTCGGATAACAGATATCCTTCATCAGTATGAGCACGATGTAAAATGAATCAGATAAATCTATTCTGATTATAAACTATAGCAATCTTGAATTCTATACAATAAAAAAAGTGAAACGGTTTCACCCGAACATCATATGTAGAGACGCTAATAAATTTTTTAAATTTCCCAAAAACGACTCAAAGACATGCCTAAAATGAAAATAGTAATTAGAGATATGAACTGGCACAACTCTAAAATTCCAAAATGACGTCAGTTAAGATGTTACAACAACTGCGTGTAAATACATTCCCAAAAAAAACAGCACTGATCGATATAAGCTGGTAAAATATGACAAACAGAGGCTGCGTATTTATCATTCCAAATAAATAGCAGTTTTATAATGAAAAGAAAAAATAATAGTAAATTTGGGCTAAGGTTAAAAAATTGGACGTGGATGCGTACTTGTACTTCCCTACCAAATGAAAAGAACCCTGGTATTTAAACTAGTAAAATTCAAAAAATTCAAAAGAATCCTTAAAACTGTAAAAGTCAAGTAAGGAAGCCGGAGTAACTGGAAACAAATGATGTCAGGAAAATGAGTGATGGTAGGGACAATGAGTGACTCATTCTATGTTTTTTCATTTATGCCCTCTGGGGAAACTGTCCTTAGCTTTCTTATCCAAACAGACGATGTCTGACTGGCCAACAAATACTGAATACTCAAACATTTACTTGCCACTCCACTGGGTCTGTGTACACTATATTTTGTAATGTAACTTGCAAAACACAGAATGTTGTATACCTTCTTCAGTGTCGATGTGGCATGCAGTATATTGGCGAGACAGAACAGCCATTCAACAAACGCATGAATGGTCATCGAAGTGACTACACCTGCAAGCCCGACCTCCCCGTAAGTCGTCATTTGAGATCCTCAAAAACCTTACAATCACAATCATAGACCACAACGAGGGTTGGTCAAGGGCCGAAAGACTTGCTCGGGAAAGGTTTTGGATAAGAAAGCTAAGGACAGTTTCCCCAGAGGGCATAAATGAAAAAACATAGAATGAGTCACTCATTGTCCCTACCATCACTCATTTTCCTGACATCATTTGTTTCCAGTTACTCCGGCTTCCTTACTTGACTTTTACAGTTTTAAGGATTCTTTTGAATTTTTTGAATTTTACTAGTTTAAATACCAGGGTTCTTTTCATTTGGTAGGGAAGTACAAGTACGCATCCACGTCCAATTTTTTAACCTTAGCCCAAATTTACTATTATTTTTTCTTTTCATTATAAAACTGCTATTTATTTGGAATGATAAATACGCAGCCTCTGTTTGTCATATTTTACCAGCTTATATCGATCAGTGCTGTTTTTTTTGGGAATGTATTTACACGCAGTTGTTGTAACATCTTAACTGACGTCATTTTGGAATTTTAGAGTTGTGCCAGTTCATATCTCTAATTACTATTTTCATTTTAGGCATGTCTTTGAGTCGTTTTTTGGAAATTAAAAAAATTTATTAGCGTCTCTACATATGATGTTCGGGTGAAACTGTTTCACTTTTTTTATTGTATAGAATTCAAGATTGCTATAGTTTATAATCAGAATAGATTTATCTGATTCATTTTACATCGTGCTCATACTGATGAAGGATATCTGTTATTCGAAATATTTATAGTTACATTTGTTAATTTATTGTCATTTTTTGGTGATGTTGTACTCTTTTAGACTGGTTATATATATATATATATATATATATATATATGTATATTCTTCAGTTTAAGTTTTAAATAAAGATCTGTATTTACATCTAGGCTTTTGCGAAGCGGAACACACTGTTATAGGGCATGTTGACTCGACAATCATATTAAACTGCACATTAGATGGAACCATTACATGGTACGGCCCTGCCAAAAATCCTCCGCCACCTGAAGCTGTTTATTCCTGGAAGAACCAATTAAATGCTCCCGATATTCCGGATAACTTGAGACCAAGATTGTCAGTGGTAGGAGATTTTAATCATGGGAGATACAACCTTAAAATCCAGAAACTACAGGTTACAGACCAAGGACTGTACATGTGCGAACTTAAAGGTTCAGTCGACAAATTCAGGTTGAAAGTAATAGGTATGGATTAAGTTAACCTGCATCTCATATTACTTTATGATATCGTCAGTTTATTTGAAAAAATGACAACTGAAAAAACAAAACAGTATGCAAACAAGGTTGTAAAATGTGTTACTATAAAATAACAAAAGGATTTTTTTATCCATCTGTTGTTGAAAATATCAAAAAGAAAAATTCTCGTCATCTTTTTGTCAATAACCAATATGTTGGAGGGCCTTTAAAGCTTTGATATATTAATATTTAATCACAACCACAGAGAGTAATCGTGTGAGATGATAAATAAACTCCTTACTTGCAGGCAGCATTATGGTATTTATCACTGACTTTGAAAGAAGTATGACTGTTTTGGTTCAATTGGGTTGTTGATTTGATGTCTCATTCGTTTTAGCCATATCTCCTTTTATACAAATTCGTAAGTATACATATATGTTTTATTGTAGTCTAAGGTTAAAATAGAGATATGTAATTACTTTCATTCTATTCTACAGAAGGAGAAGAACAAACTGTTACAGGACATGTTAATTCCACAATCATATTAAACTGCACATTAGATGGAACCATTATATGGTTCGGCCCTGCCAAAAATCCTCCGCCACCTGAAGCTGTTTATTCCTGGAAGAACCAATTAAATGCTCCCGATATTCCGGATAACTTGAGACCAAGATTGTCAGTGGTAGGCGATTTTAATCATGGGAGATATAACCTGAAAATCAAGAATCTACAAGTTACAGACCAAGGACTGTACATGTGCGAACTTAAAGGTTCCGTTGACAAACTCAGGTTGAAAGTAATAGGTAAAGAGTAATTTAATTTGCATCATATATAACTTCATACTATAATCAATACTTAAATTCGTGGTTAATCATGCTTGTCACATATACAAGTACAAGTGGAAATTGGATTCAATGTTTCAAATATTTTAGATTTTCAGTAAAGTATAAACCACAATCTAAAAATAAGAAGATGTTGTATGATTACCAATGAGACAACTATCAACCATAGACCGAAAGGACATGGGTGTAAACAACTACACTACATATAAAAATTAAAAATACACCAAATTCTATTTTACAAATGATACCGATACACTAGTCGTATTACGAGTGAAATGATCAGCCTTGAATAAAAAATGCTTTGAAGGCATTTATATTTAAAAATAATTTTCGACCACAACATGTTACGAAATTCTGTGTTAAAACTAAATATAATTATTATACGATTATGGTCAACAAATACGACGTTTAGGAAAATAGATTACAAAATTGCAAGGCAACGTTAATGACTGTTCATATTATATAGTACGAAATTCGAACCAAAGCGACGTCTTTCTGATACAAGTGATACGGAAAATCATTACTTTACCTCTCAACTCTTTATGCTAAAGCGTAGCATATATGAAATGAAAACTGTGTAATACATTGGAATGAAACAGTAAATTCTATTATTTATTTTTTTCAGAATTTTGAATGTGCATTACCAGTCCACATGGTGTAATCAAAACATAATGATGACCACTAAAATACAGAACAGTTCTTTGACTCCCAATCATTTTTATTCCACTCATGAATCAAACTTTATCAATCTTTTTTAAGACGGATATTCCAGAATACCATGTTGGATAATGCCATATATTTTGATGTAGCAGATGTACGTGCAGTATGTCAGATAGTTGTTGATAAAATTATCATATGACACTTTTGTTGTCTGTAAATAACATTTCAAAACAAATATGCATCAATAAAAAAATCTCAAATTTAATTTTGATCATTTATCTTTGCATTCAAAATGTACTTCGTCTGTCGCTCTAAAGAGTTTTTTTGAATAGGCACGTTTAATTGGATGATGAGCGGGAAGAATGACACCATTATCCGATCTCGGTACGTTCAATGATGTAATGTTGTACTACGAATCTCTTGACATATGCATTATGTCTAATTGGTTTATTTACGGGTGCAGTCCAGTAGCAATTATGTCATATATATTCAGAACCTGATGTGTCAGTATCAAATGAATATACGCTGCTTTGTTCTAGAATGACAGTGTATAATATGCTAGCCCTAGTGGTAATAAGCTGCATGAATTATTAGTATGCACAGTTCCTATAGCTAGTTTGTTTCGTCATTTTCTTTCGGTAAAAATTCGATGATTTGATAGTAAATGTTAAAGGTAGAGTAAATTATGATGTTTCTTTTAATTATATACATAAGTATTTGGCTTTTTAACAAAGACAGGTTGGCTAATCTCAGTGTAGAATATGTCTTCTATTAAGCAAAAAACATGCGTACAGGTTTTTCCCTTTTTTGAACTAGTACAAGATTAGATCCTTTATCACAACTCACGAAATAATTTCATAACAAATATCACCATTACAACAATTGTGAGATATGTTTAAACACTTTTACCAATATGAAATATAATACAATGATTTACTGCCACTTGATATAGTCAAAAGAAATGTGGCATCGTAAATCAGATTTCATAATTCCTTTTTTTCATATTGAAATTTCCAGTCTTTTCTATTGTCTCAGACTCGAGCACACCATTTTCTGCAACGGGAATTCGGGGAAAAAATTGTTTCGTAATTTGGTGAAAATTAGGTAAATTTCAAGTTGTAAGCTGCTGTTCACTATGAATTGTAGTAATCTACCTTTTTTTAGAATAAAGCCCTAGGCCTTAAATTGATAAAGAACACGTACTAAGACCAAATTGAAAATTGTTCATCATATTGATTGTTCTTAATGAACCTTTTACATTACATCATGTTATTTAGATCAGACCATGGTAAAGTATTGAGTCGCACTGGCCCTGTCCTTCCTCTTTTTTAATTATCAACCACAAACTCAGAATTTCATCAGTAATCAAACAATTCTATAACAATTGCTATTGGTGCAGGGATCAATATAAAAATGGGGGTACACTTTAAACAATTCTGTTCCAGAAATTAGCAATACGCTTGGACTGATTTTGCTGGATTACATTAAGTTTTCAACGTAACTGGGCAGACTGGTGATTGACTCACTTTTGAACTTCAGTATATTATATACATATACATATATAAGAGTTCAGGTCCTTGTCAAGGATGTCTCAGGTTGACTTTTTTTTAGTCATGAAGCTCTTAGGTTTAAAAGCCAAACTTCAATTGGATCCTTGTCTTTAATAGTTTTTACTTGTAATTTTTCGTTCTTGAAGGGAGTCTACTGCAGTGTCTAAATAAAACACACACTGGCTATGGATATCGAGCATTTTTTTGTGTCCTGAAATTCAGTCAGACTCTCACGTACCTCGGTAAGCAACTGATAATACTGGCCGTTGCGTAGCAGTGACATTGTACGGATTATAAGAAAGGATTAAACACAATGCTCTTCAATTTCGTTATTTATTTGACCTGTTTAACTTTTTTGAATCGAGCGTCACTGAAGAGTATTTTGTAGACGAAATGCGCGTCTGACGTACAAAGTCTTAATCCTGGTATCTATGATGAGTTTATTTACTTAACTAGCCTATGCAATCAAACAATGGTTTCCCAAAAATATTGAAACAAGATCAATGCCAAAGGATACAGGCCAAATTTACACAGTGCAGCGTAAATATAAGGATCATGAAGCAGTTATTTGCTTTCTTAAATAAACTTAATTGTGTTTTGAGAAAATAAATAACACTATAAATTTATACTTATTTTATTTGGAGATTGTTTCAATAATGTAGTCTTCTTGTGCTTGCTTCGTACTATCGAGTGTTTAAACGATCAAGCAATGACCTTCACATTTTTTAAAATGCTGTTCGGAACATAAGTAGAATTTGAAGGATTTTCCTGGGTTATCTTTTAAGAAGGCTCATTGATTAAGGCTTGGAAATTCATTCATTCATGAAAACATAAAAGCTAAATTCAAAAAAAGACCTAAAATAAAGAGTAATAGATAAAAACAACCTGAACAAAATTCATATGCTACCTACACCAACTCCGATGCACGCATACTTCTCGGCTTGTAGGACCCTCAGGTTAAAAAATAGGTTTGCATAAAATAGATAAATTAAGGTGACAGTAGCTTACCATTGTTCAAGTTTTGTAAATCGATTGATAAGAAATCAATCAAGGTACATGTAAGAAACAAAAACTGAGGGAATTACATGACCTCTAAATGGAGTGAGACCGGGTGCGTTGACAGGGAAATCGTCTCCTGCTATGCATGCATCACCCACAATGTAATTCTACAATCGGTTAAAATAGGACACACTCAGTAAAATTACAGATCAGACGACTATACTGGACTCTAAAGATCTGAGACAACGAAAACGTGTCGCTATGTATTGAGACACCGACACAGTGTATCTCTTACAGGGAATTTGTAAAATCACTAACAGTTTCAGTGAATTTGTAAAATCCCTGAAAATTTTCAAAAAATATTGCTAGGGATTTTGTAAAATCCCTGATTACAAGTTTAAACATGATATTAGAAATGTGTTTTTCTTAGTACAATTAAACCAATGATTTTGAAATATATTTTTAATAAATAATACTAGTTAAAACTATTGTACAGTGATTATAAACTATAGGCATATGAACTGATTTTAAGACTACAATTTACTTATTTTTATTTTTATTTTGATCTAAAGTATAGAAACTTTTTTAAAGTGTGATGACTTTCTGATAGAATACATGTATAAGACAGTATCTGAGATATGACCAAAGTAAGAAATGCAAGTCCAAAGCAAAGTATTTTTACCTATACCTCTAAATTGTCTTTTTTGTTACAGTTATTCATTTGTGGATAGAAATATCTTTTATAGGCTGCAAATTAACAATACAACACTTGTTTGCTTTTTATATATCAATTTTCATGTCACAATAAGATGCTCTCGTTCTGATATGCATGTAATATTTGCCACTGGATCACATAGCCTAAACGAATCAATTTCTTATCTTCCATATGTTTTTTTCTCATATCATAACGGCAATCACTACAATGTATTGTCTTTATATTTGATTATAATAGGTTTATACTATTCAGAAATTACAGAAGCACTATATAATAAACATTAACTTAGTTTCGAACAAGGTAATAATAAGAGCTTGTTTGTGTCTTCTTTTTGTGGCTTTTAGGAATAAGTTTTAAAATTTCTTCATATTTTTTCCCGGTTCCATATGTTACATTTTAATTTTCCCTCAATTATAAAAATTAACTTGTGTGTGTAAGTTTGCTCTTGATTTAAAAACATATGTGCATGGGCCATTTTTCTACAGTGTGTCAGTTGTTTGATGAAAATTGCTCATTTGTGTAAGTGCTGTAGACTTTTTTTATTAAAATTTTTGAATCAAAAAGGGTTATTTTTTTTTACAAATTTACTGAATTTAATCAGGGAATCTGTGAAAAAAAATCTTAATAACTTTTTTTTGTTAAAGTTTTTAAATCAAAAAGAGTTATTTTTTTTTTACAAATTTACTGAATTTAATCAGGGAATCTTTGAAAAAAAATCTTAATAACTTTTTTTTATTAAAATTTTTAAATCAAAAAGAGTAATTTTTTTTACAAATTTACTGAATTTAATCAGGGAATCTGTGAAAAAAAGTCTTAATTATTTCAGTCAAAATCAGGGATTTTATAAAATCACTAATCAGTTCAGTGATAATACAAAATCCCGGAAATTACAGAAATTTTACTATTTCACTGTAATACATCGATATACCAATTCGTGGTGGTGACCGTAAAACATATGTAGTGTTGATTTCATACGTTCTTCCTTATGACTCTGTTTGAGCAGTTTTTGTGTAAGGAGCACACCTCTGATAACGAAGTCCGCATAATGTGAGCATGTACGCGCGCAACGTATCAACTGAGATATGTAGAACGCCATACAACGTAACAGAGGTTATGATACTGTTGAGAAATAGGGAGTAGACAATTTGATAGTTGAAATCATCACGTTCGTCATAGATGCTAGTTTGAAGTCGTCCATTAGTGTCAATATCGAGTAAAAGATGAAGATATGAAGCAGACCTTCTACTTTCAGTAGTATCTATATTATCAAGTTCACTGGGATATATGAGATGTAATCACCTTTTCAAATATGGGTTATTAAGTGAGAGGACATCATCAATATATCTGAAAGTGAAATTAAAGAATTTTGTAAAATGCTTTTTCTTTTTTTTTTCTTTGAGAAGGTTCTGTATGCATTATGTTTCATAAGAGTACAGAAACCAGTCGGCTAGTTCTAGTGCACAATTTGTACCCATTGTAATACCAACTGCCTACTAGAATATCAATATATCAAACCCCAAAAATATGTTAGTATTTGATTGTTTATTACTAGTAGTATCCAATTTGTATCATGATTTTCTCTTTTATTTATCAATATTTATAGCGTTAATGCATAGAACGATTTTAGTAGAAATTTTCAATTATTCTTGAAAATTACTCTAAAATAAAGTCCGCAATTCGATGTGTATGAAATGCATGTTGTTATCATTATCAATTTTGTATGGCATGTTTTTATATTCAGTCAATAGCTTTAAAGAGCTTGTGTTGTTTGGTTGATGCCAAATCAATAGAAAATGTTCTCATGTTTTTATTTATTTTGTCTTAGAGTCTCTAAATAACATTTTATGCAGCGAAAATCATGAAATAAAGTTGAGGATAGGAGTGCATTGAAAACTAATTATAATCAAATAGTGTTTTTTACGAATGAGACAACAATTCCGATTCTTCAGTATTTTTTTTTAAAATTCAGCAAAATGTTACTAACATTATC